CGGTGGTATTGTCAATTCCCGTAACATCATACGGATACCATATTGTCGTCGGGATGGAAGTCATTTTTCTTCTTTTCTTTATACTTTGCCTGACGCATGCAAACTTGTGAAGGTAGATTGTATACTTTACCGAAATTTTCATATGATTCAGGAAATTCTGTTATCATATCTTTGAACTGCTCGAGACAATATGCTGCTGGTTTTTGATGTTTAAGTTTTTTTTAAATTATCTCTATCTTTTTCTTTTAGTTGCCTACACCTAAGAATTGGATTAGTTTCTGTACCATGATTAAGTATACCTTCAGGTATGATTAAAATTTCTTTAATCATTTTTTGATGAGGATAAAATTTAATGTGAGCATTAAATATCATGCAATTTCTAACATCCTCTTCCTCCTTTTGATTTCTATGCTTGGGACAATAAGCTCTAATATGGGCACTTTTTTATTTACACGTGCATAGTGAAAGTTCAAATCGCAAGGATATATTGCAGCTTTCTTAAAACACTTTAAAAATGTTTCCTTATAATTTTTTTTTTTATTTGTACCATCTTCAATATGGAATAAATCCTCAAATTGAAGATCTGAAGAAAATAGCTTAATTTCTTTAGGGATTTTTTCTGTAACACTAATTGATGAGTTTTCGATATTTCTATATTCTAAAGCACAATTAGAAACACCAGAAAAATTGCCAGTCATCGTGCTTGACAAAACATCCATTTTTATAACAATATAAGATTGTACAAAGCAAATATTCTAAAAATAAAAGATTAAAATTTAATAAGGATAAATTAGGATAAGTATGATTATGTAAAATATTTTGTTTTTTATAAATATAAATAATATGCCTCACCTTAATATTGTTATATTATTAATTTGTCAAAGAAGTTCCGGTATATGCCGAATATTGCTATAATACACTATAAGACCCTAAGAATAAAACGGAAAAACTTGTAAAAATAATAAGTTATTAATAAAATATTGTTTTTTATATTATATTGATATTTAAGGCAAAATGCCATTACAACATGTTATCAATAAATAACATATTGATCGTGTATCTTATAAATAATATGCCTTGCCTTACCTTACTATATTATTTCAGTCCGAGTGAAAGAACTTTATCTTAATACTACTTACCTGCAGCATTTGCGTCTCAAAAATGCCTTTTAAATTTATTGTGATAACTTTCCATAAACATAGTCCAAAAATTATACTCATAGTATTGTACGAATTATTATGACATCAAACCGTCATCATAGCCCATAGAAACGCATCATAAGGGGGCGTCTATTAATCACGTGACCGAGTTTTTGAGGATTTTTAGACCCCCCTCCCCCACCAAACATCACGTGTATTTTTAATTATATGAAAAAACTGTAAAGTTTCTGATTTTTTTTTGAATATGTTTGAACTTTTTTATAAAAAATAGTAAAAAAAATAAATACACGTGATATCTGATTCTATGATTCCACGATTTCTCGGAGAAAAGTCAAAATATTTTTTTTTCATAAATATAAATTTTCGGCTATAAATTGGGATGGATATATATATTTGATCTTATAAAATAGTCCGCACATGTGCAAGTGTAGGTATGAAAATACAATTTGCAGTTTTTCATCTTACGCATGTTGTATTGTAAATAGCATTTTGTAGCTTAACTTCGTATAGCACACCGTTATTCTCTGAAGATTGGACCTTCCATTCTCTGTGGTCAATCTCAATGACCAGATGGTACTTTCAAGCTGTCCGAATGAGCTTTCCTAACTTTCTTATGCTTTTGTGAAACATTACTGCCATGTAGTCTTTCATTTCTTTTGAAGTATGCATCCTTTTCACCTTAAACACAACGTCAATAGCTTTGTCTAATCGCCTGGCACATTTTTGTCCCATAATTATGCTTTTTAATTTATTATGGTAGCTTTCACGATACATATTAGTATTAATGCTCAAGGTTTTCCTAAAATAATATGCCCAAGTTGTTGGTCTGTTATTATATTTTTTTGTAAAATATTAAGCAAATGACTGCGCATCCACATCCTGCTCAAGGGTTTTCACATATGAGTTCATTTCTCGCCAAAATTGAGTTTCATCTAAAATTGCTCTAATTTCCAACAAGCAGTTAAATACTGTGACTTGTTTTTCACTGTGTCGAAACTTTGCATTCACTGCCCTCTTCCAGCTTTGCGACACATGCTATGAGCAGAGTAGATTATTATCTGTTGGTGTCATAACTGATGACTAGGCATTATAATATGCTGGTGCATCATCAGACATAAATGTTGATGCAGCTATATAAATATTTTGCATACTGCTTCGTCCTAACGGTTACTGAAGCAAAATTCCACTGGATAACCTGCCGCAAATTCATCAATAACTAATAATAGAGTATCCATATGCATTCGTGCCATGAGTGCCATCAATGCATATTTTATTATGACCAAATTCATCATGGATATTAGCCTGTTTTTTGGTCATTATAACTACGAGGAGTTTTTTGCTCATTATAACTAATTATAATTCTTTTCTAGAATACTGTGTTCTACTCCCGAAATTTTTTAATATAAAAGTTTAAAAGAACTGTTCTCTTTGTTGTCATCAAACCACATTTCGACACTAGATTTGTCATTCATATTTTTATATGTAGGGTATGGTAGCACGGCTTTACTTCTAATATTTCTTATATCTAGACTAGTTATTAAAGATCTCCCCTCAAAGATGAGTTTCCACTATATGCTTCATCCCGAATACTATTAAGAATGTTGGCTTTCGAAACTCCTGCTATAATTTCATCGACAAAGACCAGAATTACAATAATTATTAAAGGAATCTTATTTAACAATCATGCAAGGTGGCTAAAAACTTACCCTTGTTATTTCCTTTTAACTGTTTATCTAATGGTATATATTTAACTGGTTTAGTATGCCCTAGTATTCTCCAGAACTGAACTGTAACTTTACCATTGTCATCAATAGTGCAGACGATTCTCGAGGGGCAAGTATATCCAGTTTTAAAAGATCTTTGGTAAAAATCCGTTTGGTTTTATTCTGCTCATAAGTGTACGACCTGTTACAATTAAAATAAATTTCTTTGCAGTCATTGGTTTTGTTGTTCCATGTCCAGATTTCCATAGTTGAAAATCTGGCAACAAAAGCAAAAATGTAGATAATTGAGCAATTACAGATATAAATTATGAGAAAATAAAATTTCTTACTATGAAATGTTTCAAATATCTCTTTATAATCTATAGCTACCATGTGGTGGGATTCGATATGACCATGAAGATTTATGTGTGTATGTTCGGAATTCGAAGTTGCGATATATGGGAAAAAACTAAGAATTTTGAGACCTTTCTAACGATGTATAATACTTTATATGTCTTCTTTACAGAAATATCGAATCGTGAGGAGTATTGCTCCAACCTAGCCGCACTTTGCATTTTGACAAGTTAACATCTACACATATTGCTCAATAACATCAAAACCGTAAAAGATAAGAAAAAACTTTGTTCGTACGAAAGATGCAGAATAAAATTATGAAAAAAATGGTATATGAATGGTTAAGTGTGTTCATATAATTTTCTCGAGATTTTCCTGAATTTTTACGACGGCAACTCGCCTGTAGGCCACACCGTTTGGAATTCGAAGTTGCGATATATGGAAAAAAAAACTAAGAATTTTGAGACCTTTCTAACGATGTATAATACTTTATATGTTTTCTTTACAGAAATATCGAATCGTGAGGAGTATTGCTCCAACCTAGCCGCACTTTGCATTTTGACAAGTTAACATCTACACATATTGCTCTATAACATCAAAACCGTAAAAGATACGAAAAAATTTTGTTCGTACGAAAGATGCAGATTAAAATTATGAATAAAATGGTATATGAATGGTTAAGTGTGTTCATATAATTTTCTCGAGATTTTCCGATTTTCCTGAAATTTTACGACGGCAACTCGCCTGTAGGCCACACCGTTCGGAATTCGAAGTTGCTATATATGGGAAAAAAACTAAGAATTTTGAGACCTTTCTAACGATGTATAATACTTTATATGTTTTCTTTACAGAAATATCGAATCGTGAGGAGTATTGCTCCAACCTAGCCGCACTTTGCATTTTGACAAGTTAACATCTACACATATTGCTCTATAACATCAAAACCGTAAAAGATACGAAAAAACTTTGTTCGTACGAAAGATGCAGAATAAAATTATGAATAAAATGGTATATGAATGGTTAAGTGTGTTCATATTATTTTCTCGAGATTTTCCGATTTTCCTGAAATTTTACGACGGCAACTCGCCTGTAGGCCACACCGTTTGGAATTCGTAGTTGCGATATATGGGAAAAAAACTAAGAATTTTGAGACCTTTCTAACGATGTATAATACTTTATATGTTTTCTTTACAGAAATATCGAATCGTGAGTAGTATTGCTCCAACCTAGCCGCACTTTGAATTTTGACAAGTTAACATCTACACATATTGCTCTATAACATCAAAACCGTAAAAGATACGAAAAAACTTTGTTCGTACAAAGATGCAGAATAAAATTATGAATAAAATGGTATATGAATGGTTAAGTGTGTTCATATAATTTTCTCGAGATTTTTCGATTTTCCTGAAATTTTACGACGGCAACTCGCCTGTAGGCCACACCGTTCGGAGTTCGAAGTTGCGATATATGGGAAAAAAACTTAGAATTTTGAGACTTTTCTAACGATGTGTAATACTTTATATGTTTTCTTTACAGAAATATCGGATCGTGAGGAGTGTTGCTCCAACCTAGCCGCACTTTGCATTTTGACAAGTTAACATCTACACATATTGCTCTATAACATCAAAACACCTATATAACACGCTCTATAACATACACCTGCGGATGGACCTCCGAGGATAGCAGGAAACATCTGAACCTGTATCTATTAGAAATTTAATATTATTATTTTTGTCAAAAACAAATAGGCGACCTTTAGGAGTTTTGTGATCAGCCGTCGCCTTTACTGATCTTTTTTCTCGTTTTTTGTATTGGATGTTTTACGGTACATATTCCAGGAGCAGGGTGCCTGACATTTTCTTGCTTTTCTGCCGAATTGATTATGGTACCAACATTTTGTGTATTCCACCCGTTCTCTACTTTTTGATCTTGATCTTCCTTTTTGATTTAAATATCGAATTTGTTTCTGTAAGTCGCGTACTTGCTTGGTTAATTCTTCCAGTTGATCACTCTGGCGTTGCTCAGAAGGTTTATTATAGTGCACTTGCTTGGTTGAATCTACGTGGTGGATTAACGGCTGTACCTCTAAAATTTTATCTGCGGTAGCTGCTAGTTTATCTAGAGGCAGGTCGCATTGTGTTTGCAGTATGGCGCGTATGTACGCAGGAAGCCTTTGCATCCATAGTGATCTGAACATGCTTTCACCGATTGTCGTGTGGCCAGCAAGGGAACGTAAGTGTCGAAGAAACTGCGATGGACGGCGATCTCCTAACTCTTCTTCAGAGAGGATTTGTTTGATTCTGGTTTCTTCCGAAGCACATAGTCTGCTTATAAGTACTTTCTTCAAGTAGGAGTAGGGGTTTTCTGTCGGCGGTTGTTTAATGACATCTTCTACTTCTTGAGCCTGTTTCTCCTCGAGGTTTGCGATTACATATGAGAATCTTGTGTTCTCATTGGTTATTGTTGCGATGTCAAACTGTGCTTCAATTTGTGAAAACCAGAGATCCGGGCTGTTCTCCCAAAATGGTGGAATTTTCACCGATACTCGATTCACTAAGTCGAGTTGAGAAATTTGCTTTGAAGGAGACTCTTGTAAACACTTCGAAGGAGTACCTTCTGAATCCATGCTTGAAGTTTTTTTTATATGCGGTTGTCCACTCGTCGGGGTCACCAATTATGTGGGTATTTCCACTATATATTATTTCTTCTAAAATAACTCAATAATATAATATAATATTTATTGTATACATACAATTGCATAAATACAGTAGTATATATGATCAGTGTTGTTGCTTAGTCTTGAACCTGGATTTAATCTTCTTCCGGGTCCTAGAGGCTGGTCCGTTCCCGACTGCGGCGAATGCAGTAAAGAGATCGATTATCGTAGGTAGGTCCGTTTTATACTCTGACCAGCAATCCCCACTAGTTCACTGGCCAGTTGTGCGTCTCGCTCTTGTGCGTATATTACAGGCGCCATCCTGTGGTATTTAGGTTCAAGATATATTGGGTGCGCCATCTGGTCGCCACACCCACATTTTTTTTACTTTCTTATTTCTTTTTTTAATTAAAAACAATAAACAATATACCACCAATGCAGCTAAACCTTGTTTTTGCCGGGAACTCATCATAATAACTTTATTATCAAAGATACAAAACGACAAAAGTTTTCAATTGTCTCACAAGAACTAGACTGAAAAACGAAGTCTAGTTGTAAAGTCTTAGATTAATATATATTAAAATATTTAGCCACAAGTGTACATAGATTTTTAGAGTGTCTAGGTAGAGTTGCTCTAGCACCTCTCACCTACTCCTCTCCTAGAGTACGAAAGTGCTCTCGGAACAGGAAAACACTTTACAGTGTACAGACAACGGTGGAGCGCTCTAGCTAGAGAGTCTACACTCTACCTAGATTTTTCTCTACAGTGTAATGCCGCCTTTAGTAATGAAAATATCGAAGATTCTGTAAAAACTTTATATTTATTTACATTATTTACTATAAGAACTATATTACATTAATACTGAAAGCAATTTTAATTTATCAAATAAGCATATCACTCATCATTCAGTCGTATGTGGTAGAACAACACATTTTAGTTTATATTCGGTGACAGGCTTTGTCACGGTCCTCATATAATAGTTTTTGTATCAAAAACGTTTAAAAATAATAGCTATATGATGTTCTAGATGCTGTTTTAATCTAAATGATTTATTCGCTCACAGCCTGGAATCAGTTTCTTTCAAGATCTAATAACCTGACCGCTAAAAGCTGAGTTCAAAAAAAAAACACGAAAATGCAATATGATGATCTTCTATTAACTTTTATTCTAGTAGATCACTGGTGTTCCCAATGTTATACATCAAAACCCTATATGGCTAAGAACCGTATTAGTACAAAATAAATGTATAATACAAAATAATTTAAAAAATCTTGGGACACAATGGTCTTGAAACCCAAAATATAAGGTTTTTTATCAAAATAGGGATAAATTTTGTAATTTATAATTTCTATAAGTTTGTAAATTTCCATAAATTTGTATAAAATTTGGTAAAATTGGATACATGTAATCGCCTTAATTTTTACCGTTTTTTGAGGACTTTTTAAACTGGCAAGGAATGACTGAATCTTTTGGAACTTTTTTAGGGTTATTTATCATATATTAAAATACACAAAAAATTTTGTTTTTTAATTTTTTTTTAAATGGCTGCCGTAAAAATAAATCTGCCAAGACCCTCTCGGAAAAAGCCATCAATTTGCGGGCGTTCTCACTTTTCGTACGGTGATCTGAAATCAAAAAATTAGTTTGTACGTGTTCATAAAACATATATCTTCTAGTTGAGCCAAAAAAAAAAGTCACAAAATCGTAAATTGGCACACCTCAGAAAAAAAAAGTTTGATTTTTTACCTTTTTTTCAATGTTTCTTTTGATAATAGGGTTAATTTTTGAAAATTTTATTGGAATGTTTGAGGCTTAACTAGATGCTATTACTGTAAAGCAGATGTGTGCAAAATTTCATTGGAATCGGTTGAGAACTTTTTGAGTTATCCCACCCGCAAATTTCAAAAATGTTGTTTTGAGAAAAATGCGTTTAAAGTTTTGACACATAGAAACTGTATGATTAAAGTGGCTTACCGATTAATCAGCGATTTCAGGGCCATATAGAAGTCCTTCGTTACGTTCAAGGAACTCGTTTTTCTTTGCAAGTTCCTGCAGACATGCTTGACGAGCTTGGTGGTCAAAGAGCTGCGGCGATTTTCTTGATTCACTCTCGCTCATTGATTTTCTCTTTATATGACATGGATTGACGGCCAATAACAATTTGCAGTGAGTTCATAAGTTGTAAGATAAAATTTAACCCATCATTGAACAATCCTGCAGATATAAAAGCACTAATCTCTACGATCTTCCGTCCAGAGTTGAGATGTTTTGGACAAGGCGCCAGAGAGTAGAATTATAACTTTCATTTGCATTCTGAGTGTGACCTCCTAAACATCTTTCAAGCAAGTCATCCCGAGATAAATCGTCAAAAATTGGCTTTTTTTTACATGTATCGCCCCCCTTTATAAATTATGTCTATAATACTAATATTTTTTCTGCAATGTAGTAAATATTAGTAAATTGGAATATAGGTTATATCATATGTTTACATAGATTTATAATTATTAATAATAATTAGACTTGAAATTTGGTAACAATTTATACATGAATAGTTAACCCCTTAACTTAAAATGACGAGCAGAGCCCGCGTGCGATGACTAGGCCAAACTTAAATTTTACGGGCATAGCCCGCGTACGATGATCGGGCCAGAAGTGAATGTTACGGGCATAGTCCGCGCGGTGTAATCGAGCCAGATGTAAATATTACGTTGAATATTTGCTACGCAATTACGCGGTAGGCGCAAGTATTATAAAATATATATTTATATAAAACTAAAATAAACACGAAATATAAAAATAAAAAAATACGAAATACAAAATTAGTAACTCTAAAATACAAAATCAGTTACTGTAAAATACAAAATGAGTAACTCTAAAATACAAAATTAGTAGACGGTAACGGTATGATATATTTCAAAGCATTCTGGTACATGTAGGAGAACTTCATACTTCTTGCATTCCCACGTTGTTTCTTTGCGTTTTGATATTTGTTACAAACTGCACAACGTCTTGACGGTCTTAATTTTGATGGTGTTTTGTCAATATGCTTTGGAAAATGGCCCCATTCCTTCGTCAAAAGTCTATCTGGCGCATCAGCAAAAGCTAATACGCCTCGTACTCTGTAAGCCGGTTTTGGCATATTCTTTAATAAATATTCAGCAATGTTGATCTTATAGTCGACATAACATTGTTTCTTTTCGTGATTCAGTTTTTTCCATAAGATATAAGAATTAAAAAGGCCAATATCAAACAGATAAAAAAAATTTTATATCCTTTCATGTTTTTCCTCATTATTGGAAAACATCTTGGAGATCAATTCCATTCATTCTCTTATTGTACTCTGTAACACAATTTGGCTTTAAAATGCGTTTAGATCCTAGCGAAATCATTTCGAATGTTTCAAATTTTGTCGATAACATATAAACATCTCGCTTGTCTTTCCATTTTAGAGCGAGTATTCGGTTGCAGCTTCTTATAACGTACTCCCTTTTTTTTAATTTTACACTGCATAAATCTTTTGGCATATTTTTCCTATTCGAACGTACTGTGCCAATTACATTTGTTTTATATTTATATGATAAGGTCATAAATAATTTTGGAGAAGAATAACAATTGTCTGTGTATAAAGTGTGACCTCTGTGCAACACTGATTCAGCAAGTTTTTGACTACACTTTCTGAAGCGCTATCTTCATAGTTCAGTTTGACCTCGCCGGTATATATTTTAAATCCAAAGCAATAGCTTATTGGACTAACATAGTTTATAAAATTTAACCCCAAACCTGGCTCTTTTCGATGGGTTAAATTGTTTATAAGATAAACGCCCCTTGAATTTCATAAGAGATTCATCTAAGGAAATGTCTAGTTTCATTACATACAGATCTTTGAATTTCTGGTTTAGAAAATCAATTATAGGTCTAACTTTGTACAATTTGTCTGTTTTGTCAACTAGACTGTTATTTGAAAAATGCTAAAACCTTGTAATTTGCAGAAATCTCCTGTAAGGCATTGGTTTTCTAAATATGGGTGTTTTGATAACAGCCCTTTGCGACCAGTTCATTTGGATTCTTGGTTTCTTCACCTGCGACATTAATATGGCCAATGCAAAATATCTTCTAATTTCGTTATTGTCTACAGAAAACCAAGTGTCGTCAATTTTTTGTGTAGTATGTGAAGTTTGCCGAATTTGATTTGCATACTGATTCGTGGCGGTCACAAATGTTTAAAAAAATATCATCAAATATTAGATTAAATGTATCTAACTCTGATCTATAATTTCCTAAATGGCATAAGGCTGCCTCTGTTATACCAGAAGTCATCGTATAGTCCCAGATTTTTGGATTATTTTTTTTTTTTGCTTTCCAAAGCCAGGGTTAGTCAGTTATACGAGTCGTGCGACCGGGCCCGAACGCTGCGCCAGTTTGTTTACATTTTTGGCCCAATATTTTCGAATCTGAAATGTAAGTTAAGGGGTGAATTATCTCCAGAATCAATCAACATTTACAATCGAAGATATAATTTGGAAAAAACAATAATTATATATATAACTTATAAATTAATCTTGTCATTATTAATAAACTACTAGCGTTTGTAAATTGATTGGGAAAATATCATTTTCTTTCTCTAAATTTATTATGATTACCTTCTTTCGTTTTGGTATAAATTACATTCCCAAAACAGGTGATCTATTGTTTTCTCTCCGCTTCCGCAATCGCATGTTGAGTCCATTGTGATACCTATTCTTTTCAAGTGATTTTTGCAGAAAGTGTTTCCAAATCTCAGTTTACAGATAACCGACATGAAATTTCTATTTGCTCTCAGGTTTTCAAACCATGTATTTTGCGATACCTATACGTACCATTCTATACGTACCTTCAACATTCTCTCGAAAGTTTTGAAAATACATGAAAGCAATGAAATTTATCTGTAAGAATTCGGCATTGTAAGATTTTTATTGGTTTGAAACATGGT